GATGATTTCATCGAATATCTATTAGAAAAAGTTCAAATTTTACTGCGTCACTCTTTATAGCTAAACACAAAGTGTATTTTTGAAGAATTCCAAAGAAAATTTAAAAGATGGGAAATTTTTAACAATTCTAGATTATTCTGAAAATTATTCCTTCATTTTAAAAGATGAAGTTCAGGGATTTCATTGGAACAACGTGCAGGCCACTATACATCCATTTGTAGCATATTATAAATCTGGAGAAGAATTAAAAAATATAAATTTTGTTATTTTATCCAAATTTAATTATAAACCAGAAAAAATAATATATTTTTCAGATGAAGCCGCGTCTCAATACAAGAATCGCAAAATTTTTCTGTACATATGCCTTCATAAATACGATTATTCCTGCCGAATGGCATTTCTTTGCCACTGCTCACGGCAAAAATGCATGTGACGGTATCGGAGGAACTGTCAAAAGATTAGTTGCCAGAGCTAATCTTCAAAGGCCAAATAAAAATCAAATTCTAACCCCATTAGAATTATATAATTATGCTAAAGAAAATATTAATGGAATTCAATTTGAATATGTATCCAATCAAGAATATATCGAAGAGGAATTAGCCCTTCGTAAAAGATTTAATTCTGCACTGCCCATACATGGGACCCAAAAAATTCACGGGGTTATTCCCATTGATCAAAATAGACTAAAAACCAAATAATATTCTAATTCCAAAAAACAAGTTTCGTTTTTAAATGAGAAAATTAAATTTTAAAATATTAATTGATATATAACATGTGTATATGATGATAAATGGTAATCAGATTTTTACACCCTTGTGGACCTTCAACTTCATTTTAATTTCCTCTGAAAGATGATATTTTAGTGTTGCCTAAATCTCATATTCTCTCACTGGTCAATCCTTCTACTCCCACCAGTCAAACATATATATTATCTCCTGAAGAAATCTCACAAGCTAGCCAGGCTTTGTATTACTTTAGATGAAGTAAGATTAAATTAATTTATAAACTATCATAATTAGGCTAAATTTGTGAAGATTTTAAAAATTTATGATCTGAATTACAAATAAATATATATAATAGACATTGTAATCGATTTAGTATGATATATATACATTAAAATATTTTTAATCATTAAAAAAATGAATTTTAACATATTAAAACTATTATATATAGCGCCATCTATTTTTTTAAAGTATAAAAATCGCAATATTTTTTTAAATAAATATCCAGCCATGCTAATTGTTGAAGAAATTATTAAAAAAATAGTAAACGGATAATATTTCTTAAAAAAATTAAAAATCGGAGATCATATACATTTCGAAATATTAATTTCAAGTTTTCAACTGACCATAAGATGACCCATATTTTATCAAAAATTAATTTTGATGTTTTCGCCATAATCATCAATTATTAACTTAGCTATTGATATTAGATTCAATATTTGATCATATTTAGTTTTAAATTTAAAACTAGTTATTTAACATCAGTAAAAAGCAAAAAAAGATGTTTTTTAGACCTTTAACCCCGAATATCTCCGCTAATATAATTGCTAATGCGCTAAAATTTTGTTTATAATCTAATGGGAACATATATAACCAGCCTACGATTTTTCATCGAAATCGAAAGGGGTCGGCCGAAAAGTGATTGATTTGACATGGAATGACCCCTTATAACTATTAACTCATAATGTAAAAATTTTTATAAAAAATATTAAGGCCCGGCCCGGGTTTAACAATCTTAAGCCCGGCCCGGATATATTTAAAAAAAAAATTTTTAGGCCCAGCCTGGCTCGGATATGTTAAAAAAAATTTTTTTTAGGCACGGCCCGGCCCGGATATATTTAAAAAATTTAAAATACGGCCCGGCCTTGCCCGGGCCGGGTTTAGGGCCGGGCCTGCAGGTCTCTGATTTTCATACAATTTTGTTCATAATCCTTTATGGTAAAAATTTTAAAATTTGGAATTTTTATAAATTTGAGTACCATAATAATATTATAAAAATTAATTGATTGATTGTGCCGACAAGCCTCAATTCTACTAATCCTAATGATGATAATATTACTAATATGATTTTAACACATATTTAAGCCTTACATATAAATCTGATACTTTGTTAAATATTAAAACAGAGTTTTAACACATTTTTAAGCCTTACATATAAATCTGATACTTTGCTAAATATTAAAACAAAGTTTTAACTTTCATATATTGTCCATTTTGTCATGTGTAAACATTTAATTTTTTAATACAACCTAATAATGTAAAGTGGAAATTTTGTAATTTTCACGTTAAAAAATTAAAATAGCTAAATAATATAAATTATTTTCTTCGCCAAATATGGATATCATAGAATTCTATTTTAGAACAAAATTTCACTGGTTTTAAAATAAAATCTACTAAACCGACAAACCCCTTGCGCCTACTAGCCCTGGTCTCCCCTAAACAGAAAAATTTTCATAATTTTGAAGCTTGGGCTCATGGGTCCTGTGCCAAAAAAGATTGCTATTTTATTTGTTATAATAGTAAATAATATTATTAAAAGCATATATGAAAATCTGAAGAAATTTTTTTTGTGTCTCTTAGGATGCCAGATAAACCGGTTGATTCGACTAGCCTCATCAATGATCTGACTCCACGGGTTTGGGGCAGTTAGGTTCAAAAAATCACTTTTACTAAACCTTTTCTGGAGAAAAAATTAATGAATATTTAAAAAATATATCAGTACATATTTATAGGTAAGTATTTAAGGTATCGATTGGTATTTTGCAAGATCTTATACGATAATTATTTTCGGAGCTATGATGATTTTTGACAAAAATTGCGCCGAGCCGTAGTCTCCCCTATTTATAAATGTAGTTGTATTCGTTTATTTTATGATAATAATTTGTCTTTGTTTTTGGTTTCATTTATTCGATAAAGCAAATATTAAAATGTTTGAATCGAATAATGTATTATTCGTATTCGAAATATCGATCACGAATACCTTATGATCATGTGACATCAACAATATTCGAATAATATTTCTCATTCAATTTACGGTTTATCGAGATTTTTCATGTTCATATATAAAATGTCTAGGAACGTTTACAAAGTTTTATAAAGATTAAAAACTTAACACCTGAAATTGGAGCAATAAATAACTGCGCGGAACAAGAATCTGAGGAATGGGGATCTTGAGGTATTGCTTAGTAATCGGATTCTGTATCCATCTATAAATTTAGAAATCATTCATTCATATTCTAAATAAAAATTGGGCGGAAGAAACAAATTTAGATATACTGGAGCCCAGAGCAATCCATAATGGAAGAAATGGAAACTCGGTCATCCTACGAAGATTATTTTAAGAAATCTTTCTTTAAATCAAAAATGATCTGCAAAATTTGGAGCCCCGAATTGTGATTAGTTTATATTTTCGGGATGGGGTCGAGAAATATTTTTTCTGGTTAAGTCGGGTTTAGAAATATAATATATTTTATTATATAACTTTTTAAAATTTAATCAGTGGTATCAAATGAATTATATATAGTTTGATTGTATATTATTTTTTACGATTTCGTTCTATTGAAGATTATATTTTTATAAAAAAAAATATTCATTTCGGGTATGCGTTTTGGTTCGACTTATTTTTAATACTTCGTTAAATGGCTTTTGAATCACGACACCCTATTTTGACATAGTTATTTCTCATATTTTTTTTTGTTTTTTTCTTACTTTTTTTGGGCCGTTTAGTCGAAGGTATATAGTCAAAGTGGAACCATGGCAGACTCTTATGATTAATATTATGTAATCAAATATAAATTACGAGCACACTAATTATTCTTCGCCATTTTATTTAAGTATTTAATTTTTGAAGTATAAGTATTATTATTATTTTTTGATAATACTCTAATTTGGGTTCCTGATAATTCGGGCACTCCATAATTTGACCAAAATTTTGATTCCCATCAAATTCCTATTAACCACTATCAGAAAGTTAAATATAATACTTAATATGGGCGACTGTATTAGTTGAGATAAAATATTGATTTCAACGATGCACAAATTGAACAGGGTTTATTTTTATTCTAGCTAAATAGTATGATTTTTTTTAGCATAGATCGAAGTCGATCAATTGAGGACCCATAAAAATTATTATCACGATGATAAATAAATTCGAATAAGATCATTTGTACACATTGATTGCTTCCTCATTTTAAAAAAAAAAAATTATCCTAAAATTTTTCACCGTAACCTCTGGATCGAACCTTATTTTTATATTTATCCTGAGCCGTCCCGTCCCCCTTATATTTTTTGATAGGTTCAGAAGGCAGAAAGGTTATAGGAATCGAATAATGAAAGAGGCCGAATGATTTTTAATTTGATAAAAGTATATAAAAAAAGAAAAAAAGTGCAACAAATATTCGTATGGAACGAAATTTTATTTAAAAGTAATTCACTTTTATTCATTCGGCCACAATTAACAATAAAAATAATAATTCGGCTTAAAAACTTTGAAATTTGGATTTAAATTATTTAGGATAGATAGGTATCACGTATTTCTGTTGTAATATTTATAATATAACCAAAATAATATAATTATTTTTTTACCTTAAATTTGTGTAAACAGTGTTGTTGAAAGCCTATTTCGCCGATTTTAAATTAAGATTTTAGCCAAAATAATATTACGCGAGCTTCGCGATTTTGTTAATAGATTGCCAAAATATTGGGTTAGCCGTTTTAAATTGAGCCGTGTGTTTTATAAAGACACCGAATTCATTCTTCCCAATAATTCAAATCGAGTAATACGACCAACAAAAACGAATAATACAATATTCGTATCAAGATTGGTTTTGACCGAATGCGAAATCATTAGTAGAATGGCGCTAAATTGGTTGCTTAAATCAAATAGCGCGCACAAATGTTGACTAAATTCGTCCTGTTTGCGCGTTATGCTTCCTTAACCGATAAGATGAATAATTTTTTAAAAAAAATATAATGTTTATTTGATTTACGTGTATCAAGATCGCAAAGTCAGCATTCATCTAATCTTTTTTCCTACAATTTCTCCTCTACCGGCCCCCTCATGTCCCAAGCCTCGACTCTTACCAACAGGGCTTCCTTCAACTCCTTGAGTAATAATAGCAATAACCTTTCGTCTCTCATCTCCGCTAACAAACCGGCGCAGTACAAATCGAATTTTTCCAATTCCACCAGTATCAACAATTTAAATTTTACCAATTACAACAACAATAATATGACCTATCCGGGCAACAGTTACGGTTACAATTATAGCGGCATCGCGACGTGCGGCAACGCTGGGTCAGGTTTCACGAATAACACCGGTTTCGGTAACGCTTTCAAGTACATTCAATAATTCTACCAAAATTCATACATTTAAGATCCCCCCCCCCCCACCTCATATTATTAATAAAAATCTGCTTATCTCCATCCTATTTAACAAAATGAAACGCGCGGCTATCTTTAAATTACTATTATTAATGTTATTCTTGAAAATAGTGATATCGTACTTTAATTATTTCAAACTTTTCTAAGAATATGCTGAATTTTATAAGCTAATAATAAAAAAATCCCAAATATACGTTTAAAATTTAGAATTGTTTAGCGACGTCCTTATACTTGTTAGTAGAGAGTTTTATTGAGATAGATATTTTTCAAAAAGTAAAAATGTTAATTTTTTAACGTCACTATTGCGGTCAAATTATTGTTAATCACCTCCTCGTCATTAAGTTTTTTGAAAATAATAATCGATACGCAGATTCATAAAATAAATTGAGACTAAATGGTCCCTTAATGTAAGTTATTCCATACAAACAATAAATTAAGAAACAATCAAATCGAGTAGCTTAAAGGATTTGTTAATATAACCAGCGATTCCTTAAAATACTTATTGGAGACCTGGATGGTATAGTTGGGTAATAGCTAAATGTCAGCGAATTGTGCCGGAGAAAATCCGTTAACCCATTAAGCGTTTTAATTTATATTAGTTTTTTAGAATTTGAGCTGCTATATTTATGAAAAAATGCCCTCATCCTCAGTTAGCTCGAATATACAAAATATGCTATATTTTTTTTTTTCTTCGTCGAGAATTTGCGCTAACTGTGAATGAGGAGTTGGCTAAAAATATAGAAATTACTCAACTATATTGAAAAAGTTAAATAAAAATAAATGTTGATCCATCTTGCCCCGGATTATTTTCAATCCTAACCCGATTGTTAAAAATAAAACTCGTCGTATAAAATTTGGCCTGATTTTATGAATTGTTTTCCCAAAAAGAAATCGAAAATATGAGGAGCCAAAATGGGTGTTAAATAATTCATTATATGATTTTTTTTCGACTGGTTAATGTATATTCAGAGATTCCCACGCTCACGTCATCGATACTTTCAGAGCTAAAATGATCATCGAATGAAACCATCTTAAATTATAAATATTTTAAGCCTACATTTAAACCCATAAATTGATTTAAAAAAATTTTTTTTAAAACAAATTTGTAAATAAATCAATAGGAAAGTAAAATGGATGTTGTTAATTTTTTGTATTTTTTTTTACCTTTTAAATTTAATTTTTACTTTTATATAAATAATTTCATAAATTAATTATAAAAATGATTAATTAGAAAATCTCTCCTTTTTTTCATAAAAAATAAGTTTCATAAATAATAATATATTGTTTTTGTTATCAGCTTCGTCCAAAAAAGTGATTAAAAAAAAATTTGGTTTAGCCTGGGTTTTTAAAAAGAATTTTAAATGTAATCCCCCCTCCCTCTACTAAACAAACCGTATTTTGATGTCATGGATGACGTATTTCCTTAGAAAATTTTGTTTATAAACGAATAAAAGAAACAAATATATAAATAGAGTAATTTTATATAATCATTTTTTTTATAAAAATTTGTTTAATTTGAGGAGTTATCCTTTATTGTGCTGTTCAAATGGCTCGATTTGGGCCGAATTTTAAAAAAAGATTAATTCAATATTTTAGCCAAAAAAATAGAGATTTCACTAATGCGTGTCAAAATCCTTGTGCCATCTCTGAGCGAAATCTTAAGGCTGGTGTAATATTTTTTTTCTGGATATTTTGAAAATCGGCTCAAAGCGAGCCGTTTAATAACACTTTTTGTGATACAGAGAATCGGCGTAATTTTTTAGGCGAAATGAATAAGTAGAAACCCGATGAATGAATTTTATTTATCTAGACTGAGTCTGATTCATTAAAATGCTTTTTCAAGCGTGGTTGAATACAAATCAGCCGGTGCCACCCTTCCAAGATAATTCATTTATATATAAATAAATGTAACCTTGAATTTTTTCTTTAATTTTCATAAAATGTTAATGTAAATTTTATATATGGGGAAACCAAAATGTCGTGTCTTATTGAATCGCGTTTGAATAAATAAGTCGTTAGGGTAGTATTATAATGTCATTGAATCCTGCGCGATCTGTCCAGACATCAACTGACATTCGCTCGGGCTTCTTAATTTTAAATTTTTTTACGTTGGGCCGGATTTAGAGCATGGCTTAATTTTTCCGCCTTCCTTCAAAAATCTCTTCTTTTTCAGAGGTGACTCGATTTTCGAAAATAAATATTTTATTTTTCTCTAATCGACTTCGGCCGAGAAAAATTGGCTTAATATATGTAAGGGTTTACCAAAAACTTTTTCTCATCTATCAATGAGTCGAATGTATTGTTGTTAAACGGCTCGTTTTGAGCCGATTTTTAAAAACGGCTAACACAATATTTTATCAAGAAAAATATGAGTAAGTCGGAAGATTCTGTTCATAGAAGGAACAAAGGTCTAGACATATATTAGCAAAATCTCGAGGCTTAAGCAATATTTTTCTGGCGAAAATAATGAATTGAGTCAGCCGATTTTAAAAATCAGCTCAAAACGAGCCGTTTAACAACACTAGTCGAATGTATCTTCAAACCGCTAGATTAGATAGCGCCCATTGCTGACCTGTGGGTTTCGTTTCATCTTCTGATATCTAATATACAAGGTGGTAATATTTCACGTCTGGTTTTGGACGGTACTTTGATAGGTCTCCATATGCTATATATTGCTTGGTTTAATGATGTTTTAGTTCTACCTTATTGTTTTAGAGGGTATAAAACTGGGTGGGGTTTAACAAATATGGGTTTTTACATTTGGAAAGAGAAATATTTCGATTTCAAGATGAAATTCCAGGAATTTATTTAATACTACTGAGAAATTTTTGTATGTAGTTAACTTTGGCTATTATAAATTTAGTGGATTGAAATAATTGGCACATTAGAAGATGCGCCAATAGTTTTTGGTAATTATCCAAAACATATACGCATATATCCGTGCCCTCCAAAAGGCAAGAAAATTGTTTTACTATCGGCGTTGAAAGTAGGGTGGCCGGATTATTTTGATTGGGATCTGAGAATTTCATAACTGGCATGTTTGTTGTAAGGGTGAGGGTTGCAATATTTAGGTATTAAATAATTAGTTTAAATTGAAATGAAGGAAAATGTAACTTGTTATAAAAACAAAATTACCATCGATTTTAATTCATTTTTTTTTAAAAAATTTAAAACATAAACTAATATAGCTACTTTGGTGGTGGTTCCAAATATTCGAAGAATTTCAACGGTAATCAATTTTCTTTAAAATTATTTTTTTTTGTTAAGGCAGTGCCCAAAAGCTATTTTAAATCTCATAAGTTTCGAAACTTTTAGAAATTTTACTGTACTGAAAATCGTACGTTAAATTTTTAAAATTTTCTAGAATTATATTTTGGACACGAAAGTTTGCGGATTTAATTTTTTTTTGTTATTTTGGACACAGCCTAAATAAATAGAGTTATGATTATAACAATATTTTTTGACTATTTTTTTTCCACAAAATATCAGGAAATGGTACATATATATATATATGTTTGATTTTAATATTTTTTAAAATTTGTAGTTAGAAAAAATATAGCCTTTCATATATATTTCGAAGCGTAAGGTTTAACATAATTAAGTTTTTTTTTTACAACATACCCCTTTCTCCAGACGCCTTCCATTACAATTCCAGCTCGAATCACCCTCCCTTAGATCCCTCGGAGTTTCCCTCCTTGAGGCACAACCAGGACTCTGCCGGATTGAATTTCAACTCTTTCCTCACCGGGAATGTTCTCTCCGGAACCAATAACTGTAATTAACTTAACATTATTTTTAGATTCTCTAGGGATGCAAAGCAAATGAGATTGTAATATTTTCTGATCATCTTTGACCTCGTAACCCATCAAAAAAACACTATAATCAGCTGATTTGCTATTGGGTTCATCTAATCATTTAACCCTTGAGTGGTTTTGTAGGAGCAACCTCCCCCTCCCCTCTGTTGTAAATTGTTATTACAAATAAACATAGATATTTTGACTAGGTTTTTCAGTATCCTATTTTACGATTAAATTTCTGCTAACTTTCATGCATTTTTATTGAATGATTTTTATATTATAACGTTATCTGAAGGCAAAAACTCACATTTTAACTTATGATAATTTTTTTAGAGTTTTTATTAAAATATTTAAAAGATTTTTGTAATCAATTTTATTATTTTTATGTTTTACAGATATTGTGTTATTTTTTTCAATTGTGAAACAAATATAAGATATAAAAACAAGATATAATTTTAAATTTTAAAAATCTACCAGGAGATAAGGTATAAAATTGCGCGGGAGTGGGAAGGCCCCTATAAAAATATATTTGAGTCTCTAAAGGAAGCAGTAATTGTATTTAAAATATTTTATTTGTATTTTTTGCCTTACCCCCATGGTGAAATTGATAAAATATGATGTTTTTTTAAATTGATTTATATAATTTGCAGCGAATTTCTGCTAACTGGGGTTAAAGAGAGTAGACAATGTTTAGATTAAGATTTTTTTTGTTTTTGCTAGAGTAAGTGTGTCACTATTAACATTTGTGTGAGGAAAGTGATAACGCGAATATAATTATAGATAAAAGATTTATCCATTATCGTGGAATAATTTTAGGGCCATCAAGTCTTAGACCCGAATCTTTTTAGGACTAGGCTGAAGTTTATTTATTGATGAATGGCGCTATTGACAGTCTTGATTTTAATACAATTTAACTCACGTCTGCCCTTAGCATTAATTGGTAAATTGCAATTCAGTACGATGTTGAACTATGTCGCAGCCAATTCTATGGCCTAGAATAACTCTTAGTTGTTGATTAATTAAGAGGTTACCTAAGTTTTTACAGGCAAGGCTTCCAAGAACTCGTCTTATTTTTATTAAAAATGCAGTTAAAATGGAATAGGGTTTTTTTGATAAATGTTTTTGTGAATTATTATTTCAGGAAAAACTGTATCCTTCTAAATGTACCTTATCCAGCAATTTTAGTAGATATTAACGAATTGTTTAATAGTTGGGAAGAGAGGAAATAATGAGTCAGTGCCATTCATTTTATTAGGAAGTTGGGCTAAATTCTTAATGGAGCTAAATTGAGATTTTAAAAGAATTTTTCCAATAAAAAGAGGATGTATGGAGATGCAATATTTTAAACATATAAGTATTATATGGAGGCCTTGATATAAACGGGAGAATATTTACGAACTGAACTGAGCTTAGGATGTCAAAAAATGTTGGCTCAAGATTGAGGAATGAGATAAGCGTGAGTCCAAAAGAGTTAAATTATTTAGTTTAACGGTTTTGTAGATAGATAAGGAAATTGTATTGTTATCTCGAAAACAGATTGTTGATTGCTTCAATCTTTGAAGGTATATTTTTTAATAGGATCTTTTTCTATTCTAGGTTATCAGTAGTGTTGTTGAGCGATTAACGGCTAACTCAATATTCATCAGAAAATATTACGCAAGCCTGAAGATTTTGCTCATGAAGGAACAGGTCAGTATATATAATCGAAATCTCCAGGCTTAGGCAATATTTTTCGGTTAAAATATTGATATAGCCGTTTTAAAAATCGGCTCAAAATGAGCCATTTAACAACACTAGTTATCAGTATCATGGTAAATAGGGTTTTTTTATTATAAAATTGCCATTTTATCGGGTATAAAGGATTTGCGTTGGGAAAATGAGCAACGGTTTTAGTTATTCAGTCTTTTTCACACAGGACAAAAGCCTTGAATAGGTCATAAGATATGTATCAATATAAATATGTTGAAAATAATTCCTTGATTTACAAAGCTTATCAAACGTCGATTTAAGCCAGCCATATGGATTAAATATCTTTTATAATTTTTTTTGGATTAATGCTTTGTTTTAATAGATATTTTTATGGTTAAAATAGGAAATATAATATTAAGACGCCAAAAGAAAACTCGTTTTAATATGTAATAAAACCCCATTTTACTGTTTATTTATAACTATTTTTAATTTGTAATAAAAACCGATTAAGTCTTATTACTTTTACCAAAATTGAACACCCGTATCTTAAATTTATAATTCATTTTACAAAAATTATTAACACTTAACTTTTTTATATTCTTTAGCCTTAAAATAAAAATACCTATATTACTATATATTTTTTTAAAAAAATTTTTATCCATCAGTATAAAAACAAATTAATCCTTTTTTTAAAAAATTTTTTTTTTATAATCGTTATAAAACATGAATTTTATAATATTTTTAGTGCCCGTTTCATTTATATAAAAGACCAATGAAAAAATATGGAAATGAATTGCTAAATTATTTTTTACCATCCTCTACTTTCATTTTTTTTTACGAATACGGGCACATGGATTATTATTTTTATCTTATTAATTATCTTCCTCCCGCTTTCATATATTTTGAAGAGGGACACATTACCTAAAACTAGTTTTATTGTGTAATATAATGTTGCTAGAAATATCAATTATTGTTAAAGACACCTCAAATTTATTTAATGTTAAACCAGGAATGCGAACCCGGCAAAATTTTTGCCCGGGTTTGGTTCAGGGAAATATTTTTTAACCCGAGTTTCCATCCGGATTCAGCTCTGGTTTAAGAATTTTTGAATGGATAAAAAAAATATTCTATATTTAAATCATAATTAAAAAACTAGACATAAATTTGGTATAAAAAAATTAATATTTTATTTTATTTATACGTGAGTCATGTATAAATTTAAAATTTTTTATTTAGACGTATTTCTTTAAATTAACAATAATCCAATATAATCATTTTTACTTTGACTTGTTCACTTTCATTTTCCTTTAATTAATAATCTTTGAGAATATTAAAAATTAAAAATAATTGGCTTAAATAAATTTAATTCTTTAAAATTTATTAACAATCTAATAGGAATCTTTGAGAATAAATTTAAAAATGGAGCAAATGAATTAAGTTGTTTAAAATTTATTAACACTTCACTTAATTGGAAATTTGAAATATTATAAAATGTCAAGTAAATTATTAATATTTATATTTAACAAAACAAATATCTTATATTAATTTAAACAATACACAGAACCCGGGTTCAAATAAAATTCCCGGGTTCGTTTCGAGGTTTTGAAAATTTTATAAACGGGGTTCAGTTTTGGTTCGGGTTAAAAAATTTTCCCAAAAGCCCTGTTATCTTCGGGTTAGGTTCGAACCCCTGGTTGAAATGGAAACGAGTTATTGCCAAATATAATTATTGGGAAAAAAATTCTTATAAGAGATTGCAAATTATTTAGAAACTATCAGTTCCCACTTTGCATGTCTCTTTTTAATAATTCTAAATTTCAAATGACTCAATAAAATATTTTTTTAAACCGATTCATCAATCCAAAAGGTCAAAAATGAGAGAGTATCTACTTTTCAGATTTTCACTTATATCAATCGGTCTCTAGCCCCCCACCCAGGATATTATTTTAAAATTTCTCAAATTTATTGAGATCATGGATCCTTTTTAAAAATGTTACAATCAACTCAAATCGTCGTTGAGGGCCTCTTTTAGCCCCCCCCCCCTGATATGTTTTTTGAAAATGTTTATATTTGTCTTTTATGTGCACTTTTGAAAAATATTATTTTAATATAGCTTTATTATATTGTGTTTTTTCTAAAAATAATATAATTTTAAAAGTGGGTATGGGGAAGCAAAATAGCGATATGCAACACCAGCAACATGAATTTCAAATACATAACGAAGATTTTCCAGCCCTTCCTGGCATTCAAAGTTTGTTCATTATTAATTAGTTTAAATAATTAAAAATTCAACTTATATATGATTGTTTTAAAGCTTAAAAATTTTTCCCAAATTCCTTTAACATAAAATTTACATAAATTCTGTAAAAAATTTATTTACTTATTATTATTGATAAGATATATATATAACAAATTTATCAAATGTAATAATTATAATTAAATATTCCCTTAAATCTATTGATATAAATCTTATTTAATTCATACGCATCAATGTGTTATTTTTGCAACTTTAAATCATTTTTTTTTAGCGTTTTTAAAAATTAAAAAATCTGATTTTACCGGAAATGTATTCCATCATGTTTGGAATACCCACCCAGTCAATTTCGGACAAATTTTCCATGAACCTTTAAACTTAATATAATTTATATTAGATTTTTTATATAAATTATAAATGACCCATAAAGTTCAGAGCAAAATTGTATACAATTCATAAGATAGGTTTGATAAAATATATGTCCGTTAAAATCCGATTTTTAAATTTAAAAAAACGCGCTCAAAAAATAATATTGACGCTAACATATTTAATAAAACAAAGTTATAGGGAAGGAAGAATATATGTTACTTTAATATATGGTTCTTTTATATAAATTTACAGAACGATCGATATATTGATTCACACCTCTATGTCAAACAAAAATGTTTAAATTTTTTTAAAATATATATATAATTTGTTTTTAAAATTCAAAACAAACCCTGTTTAATTTATTTATATTAGGCAAAGAAAACAGCCAGCCCATCGACAATACGAATGTAAGTAACTAACAAATGATGTTATCTTTAATTTCTTTAGAAGTTTCATTTTTGATGAATAAAATTAGTATTTTTAATGTGGATGGGTGTATCATCAAATACATCTTTTTTAAAGAGATAAAGTATGGAAGGGAGAAAAGATATATATTTCCCGAGTTACAGGTTTCTCGCATTTAGCCTTTTAGTGGTTTTATATAAAGTTGGTATCTTCCAGGCACGTGTTAAACCTCAGGGCCTCGCGTTCGAGCTTCCAAAATTTGATAAGCTTATTTTGCTATTTACTGATCTAGTGAAGGTCAACCACGACCACTTCAGGCCGCTTAATATTTCAAAAAAATGCAAAAAATGGGCGGCATTTGGGTGGTTTTTAGAACCCAAATGGAATCCCCATTATTTTATGTGCCACAATCAGCACAACTAGATTTCATTTGATTTTCAAACTCGATCTGAATGCAGCCGATAACTTTCTTGATTTCTTTTTCTGACAATAAAGTGGTCCAAACTGGTCCTGGTTGACATGACGACCATTATCATATTTTAAGCATCGTAAAATGTCAAATTTTTTTATGTTTCATAAAAATACAAAATTCATGGCTAAATTTTGAAGATTCTCAACAATTCCTCTTCAACGCCTCAAAGTAATGAAAATCATTAAATTTCTAATGTTTTTTTCTTATTTTCTTACCCAGACTTTGAATTAGGTAGATGTATCTGCCTGTTTATTCATTTTTATAATAAAGTTAAATTTAACATAGTAATCAACTTAATATTATTTTATCAGCCTTTTAAAAAGTTAATATTTAAAAAATATCTTATCAATAATATACAGCCTTTAAACACGTTTTTATTACAGCCCTTTCAGCCCAAACGAGTACTCATTTACTAACCTCGTCTTCAAAATACGTCAGGCAATCCAACAGTATACCTAACCAAGAAGAATCTTCGTCCTTGGACCCCAATCACGAGCTTAGGTAAGTCGCATGTTAAGAGAGTAATAAGGTGGATAGAAAGGGAAGAAATAAATAGAAATTTAAAAAAATAATAAGTAAGATAATATAAAGATGGAGGTGGGGGAGGGGGTTAATGAATAATATAATAAGGTCAGCAGTACGGTCCTATCATCTTAAGAACGAACTCGAATTTACTGACGAGTTTGTATTTTTTAGGACCTTGGTCCAGAGTCCATCAATTTTGGTCCACATCAAAGGCTGGATCTCGACCTATACCGGAAATGACTGGGATATTGTGAAAAGGAAAATAATAAGTTAACCCGTTACTGGTTAACGGTGCATATATGCACCACCTCCTATATACCTTATTTTAACATAGTAGTTTTTATTTTAAAAAATAATAAAAAAGATTTTTATATAGTTCAGACATTGTACTTCAAAACTGGAAAAGAAAAATATGAAAAAATATTTTTTTATGTCCCTAAGAAACCCTCAAACTTTGCGAATTTATGAGGTCTAAAATGCAAAATTTTCTAAGTGATCTCACAAGCATATTATAAAATTATTTCGATGAAAACTAGTGTGTATATATTCTTTATAGATATATCAATATTTATCAATCATTTTTGAATTTTTAAATAATTAAAATTTTAATAGATAACCACATAAAGTTGACTGGTGCATATATGCACCGTTAACCATCTAGCAGTATAAATTATTTAAAAAATTCAAACAAATGAAATTTAACATAATGAATTATAATTTTTTATATTATACTTAAAACCACTACCGTCACTAAGGGTGGTGGGAGGAGGGGTGGGTGGCTCGAGCCCCCTAAGAATTTTTTTTAAAAAATTTTATACCCAAAAAAGACCTTTTGAAAATAATTAAAAAAAAATTTTTAGCCCCCTGAGATTAAATCGAATAATATATTGTTCCTATTATAATTTTTTATCCCGATCAAATTATATGAAATTATTAGGTTCATAAATATTCAAAAGTTTAAAATTATTTTTAGCCTCTCTTCCTTTCTGAAGATTTTATTTTATTTATATAAAATATTATGCACCTGTTTTGTCAATTCAATCAAAATTATCAAAATAATAGATGACTAATAAAAAAATCACTACGAAAATAATTTGTCTAGATATTTAATTTTTAATAAATTTTTTTAATGAAACGTTTTCTAACAATTGAACAAGCGCTTGCTCAACTTTTTGAAGAGGAACCAATTGAAGAAAAAGATATGGTTATAATTCCGCCAAACCCTTCTGCAATTAGTGATGAAAAAGATTTCGATGAAAATGACTTAACAAATGTTGGAGTTTTGCCTTCAGATACAGCTGGAGAATTGGAGATTCATAATTCAGTTGATGACGACCTTCCAGAACCATATTCTACAAGAAGCTAATCTCGAATTTCTCACAATTTAAAATGGAGAAAAACGGATGCAATATATTCTTCAAGCCCTTTCAATGGAGAAAAGGAAGGTGTAATAAAACTTGAAAATGATTTACATGGTAAAAGTCCATCAGATATATTTTCTTTAATTTTCGACGAAGACTTATATTCCCTAATTGTAGAACAAAGTAATATTTATGCTAAACAAATGAATAGACCTAACATATGCATAACCATCCAAGATATTCAGAGATTTATTGGAATTCTATTATTTACTGGATATCATTCTCTCCCACATGAAAGAATGTACTGGTCTAATGATAGCGATATTTCTATTCCAATAATCCGGGATACAATGACCCAATTACAATTTCGAAATTTGAAATATAATATCCACTTGGCAGACAATACTAAAATAGATATACATGATAGATTTTATAAATTTAGGCCTTACATTAATATATTGAATAATAAATTTCAGCAATTTGGAATTTTCAAACATCATTTATCAATAGATGAACAGATGATACCATATCGAGGAAGACATTCTTGCAAAATGTTCATAAAAGGAAAACCAATTAGATTTGGATACAAGTCTTGGATATTGGCTTCTTCCGACGGTTACGTATTCTCATTTGATATATATTAAGGAAAAAGCGAAAATAAATATGGATTAGGTGGAAATGTAATCATAAAATTATTAAAGGCATTGCAAAAACCAAATTATCATAAAATATATTTTGATAATTTCTTTACATCATTTAAACTCTTGTCATACTTAAAACAAATGGGATATTTTTGCAACTGGAACTGTGAGGGACAATAGAATAGAGCATTGCCCAGTTGAATCTATAAAGGTTGTAGCAAAAAAAGAAAGAGGATATTATGATTATAGGTTTGAAAAATTAAACGAAATATTTGTAGTTCGTTGGAATGATAATTCGGTGGTGACCGTTGCATCGACATGCCACACTATCTCTTTGCTTTCTAATGTTTCAAGGTATTCTAAGAAAATATCTTCTAAAATAAAAATTCCTCAGCCAAATATGGTAACTGCTTATAACAAACACATGGGTGGAGTTGATCTATGTGATAATCTAATATCTACATATAGAATAAAAATAAGAGGAAAAAAATGGTGGTGGCCAATATTCACCAATTTTATTGATGTAGCTTTGGTAAATTCATGGAAAATCTGGAAATTCGTAAATCGAGATGACAAGAAGAGTTTGCTTGCATTTAGACGAGAAGTTACTAACTACCTCCTTCGAACGCCAGTAAAAATTGAAAAAAATTTAAGTACAGGTCACGCCAGCCAGTTTGCATTACAGTGTGAAAACCCTATTGATTCATCTGGACATTATTTATCCAAAATTATAGATGGAAAAAGACGAAGATGCAGATATTGCCATACGCACTCAAGATATATGTGCCAAACATGTCAAATCGCACTCCATATTAAATGTTTCAAGGATTTTCATAATATATAAACATTTTCTCGTTTTTATTATAAATTACAAAAAAAGAATAAAGATATTTGTTGTTTTTTGATCTTATAGTATTTTATATAATTTTTATCTTTTTTAACCTCTTAATGGTTAACGGTGCATATATGCACCAGGCTAGATTTTCTATTTAGGATTATTTTTTTTGGCTGATTTTTTTAGAATATCATATTTGAGCATTAATCAATATAATTTGAAAAAATTGAGCATTTTTATCCACTAGAAAAATCTTGACCATTAATGGGTTAAGGAAAGAAGTTTTTTATTAAAAAATGTGACCATCAAATTAAAAATAAAAGTAGGTTAGTGCCTTCAATGAGTAATAACGCACACCTTCCTAACCAGCCTCCCACCGCGCCTTCCCCCATCAATTACTTCAACATTAATTTTAACCCTGACCTCCTTACCTCAATCTCCGTTTCCTCCACCAGTCATTCAATCCACAAAACCAACATTTCCCTCAACTCAACTTCCGCTCGCTATCAACGTCCTAACACAATGAACAGCCAATACACTGAAGAGAGCCATGTAGCCCCTACCAAAGACATTGTGAAGGGCGCTTCGAAAGAGATGCCAATAACCTACGACAAAGGTGACGTGAGCGTTAGTAAAGAAAATATCGTTAGGGGCATAAGGACTTATCCCGATGGTAATAACTGTAAATATATAAAAAAAATTTAAAATAAGGATTTGTTTATATCAAAAATTGAGAAATTTTTAACGAGTAATAAAAGACTTCTTAAATTTGTATTATTTCGCTTTTTTTGCAAAATGCGTTTTTTGAACTATATTTTTCCATGTCAATAAAATAAGAGCATCGAATTGTAATTTAGAATAATGCTTTATTTGCGTTATTATAACATATTCTCAAAAATGAATACATAATACTATCATACTCAGTCGACGAAATGTACTATATTCTTGTATCGATCGAATTATTTATCACAATTACCTTCCTTTTTTTTACATTTCAATGGGCAGATTTTTTTTCTAAAATTAATTTTTTTTAAAACTCCCGGTACACAATAGGCAGAGTCACGGACATTCCCCACAACATGGTAAGGGACCAATTCGGGATGGTCGGCTTGTTGACATTTATTCGTTCAGCTGAGACGGCTCCTAATTTGGTTCGCCTTGGGCTGGGCAGTGATCTCACAACCTTCGGACTCAACCTCAATTCATCCGAGTATATATTTTATTTGTGTTTAATACATTTTTTCAATAAATTTTCCTTCAATCATTTATTCTTTTTTGTTTATTTTATTTATATATATATGTTTTTTAAATAAAGGCCTTTATACCAAACATTTGCGGGACCTTTCACCGAAAAACCTTGCAAGCCTCACGAATTAAGTATTTAAAAAAATCGAACTTTTAATATATTAACAGAAATGAATGAAATATTATAAGGAGAATAAAGTAGAGAAAGAAGGGGGGGGGTAATAATGCAAAAATAACAGGGGAAAAAGGAAAAATATATTAAATGAAAACGTGAGAGAATTGTTTTTAAAATTAATTTTTTGGAAATTATCGCAATATTTGTCTATTAACCTTTCATAACCCAGGTGGGAAAATGTAACTCGAGAGATACGGTAGGTTTTATAGGAACCCTAAATTAAATAAATTATATCTCAGAAACAAATTAATTTAAATCTTTTAAAATTTTAGTTATTGTAAGTATTACTTTTACATTTGATTATTTAAAATTTTATGACTGTTTTTCCAAAAGTGTCAAATGATTGTAAAACTGACATTATTCTAAATGCCATAACATGATAAGATTATAAAATGTTCATGTCAAATACTATAAAATAAAAATGATGTATAAAAAAGGGTTTTTAATGGTTTATTATAACAGATGAAAAAAGGTTACACGGATGTGTGATCACCCTAAGCTCCAAAAAACAATGATAATCAGGAGTGTGCGGGGCTACAAGTGAGGGCGCTATTTTTATTTATTTTTAGCACCCGTTTCAAATTTCGAGGGACTGCGCTCCCCCCCCCCTTCCCCGCTAAAAATTTTTGCTATTTTTTTAAAAAAGATAAATTTGAATCTCGTTTCTTATTAATATTGAAATTTTTATATAGTCAAAAATCTTTTTTCATATTTTTTTTATAGCCACATAGAAGTAGAGAAGCAGAATTATTCAATATTTTTATAATTAATTATTTTTATATAATTTTTGTAAGTCGCCACCCCTTCTGCTTTATTTAAAGTATAGTGTTGTTCACCACCAATAAGCAGTTGAGCTCCATTTTTAACGGGTTTAAACTAAAAAGGTTGAACCGAATTTTTAAGCGAAAACTATCTTTTAGCCTCGATTGAGGTTTAAACTTAAAAGATAGCTCAATTCGAATCTTAAGATTTAGCCGATTTAACACCACTACAGCCAATAAAATCCAATTTTAACATAATTTTTAAATTTTTTAAAAATAGGAATTTGAAATTTTCAAATAGGTAGGTTGTTAAGGACAAATCTATTTTTGAAAGAAATAAATAATAAATTGGGATAACCTTCTTTTTTTTTATTGATTGATTGATATAAAAATATAAATATTATGAACATGTTGACAATAATATAATATTATGTAGGTAAGCGTGTCTTGACAGAAAATTTATTGAAGGTAAATCCCTTCTGAAATCTAACTCCTATCCTCTTAAAATATTTCCACCCTGAAATTTATTTTTAAAAAATCTTTTAAAGAGCCATCATTTATAACCTTCAAACAATTATAATTAAACTCTTTCTGGCCTCATGATTATTTAAGCCAGGAATAGCAAATAATGATCAGATGATGATCAACCACAAGCGTGTATTATATTAACCTCAATCTAATATTTATTAATAAATATAAAATTTTTTTATCAGTTATTTTAATATTTAATCTACAAGTGATGTTTATTTAAATTATCCTACTTCCCTTTGGATGCCTATCCCCTACCCCTCTTCAAAAAATTGGAAACAAATCGCTTCTACCCCCATCTCTCATGTAGACGTTGTATGCGGGTAAATATTTACAGATGTCGCTCGATCTAGAAATTCCACTGCTATTTAAAAAATATACCATTATAATATTAAAAAGTAACCAATTTATAATATCTCGAGAAAGCATCATGCAAGTCCCCCATGGATTGCTTTGAAAACGAGAATAAATTTTAATAAATTATAGAAATTCTTTCCGATATATTACTTTATTCAAAAAGAAAATTGGCCTAAGAACTTACATGCGCTATTTGGCGAAAAACAAATAAAGAATTAGTCTAAGATTCATATTAAATGAATATGATAAGGCTTCGATAATATATTGATGATATTATTAAATTAAAATTTTTTAAAAATTCATTAACTTGTATGGATACTTTATCCTACAGGCCAAATGCGAAAATGGCTTTCATCTTATGATTACGATCATGGCAGATAAACACGAGTTTTGGAGTAAATAATAAGTTAAATTTAATTTTCATAAATAATGGACCTTTGATATCAGAATGGATTCCAGTCCATATATCATAATCTGGAAAAGGAATCATCGCGGGCAAAGAAAAATAAAGTTCAAAGATTCGAAGAAATGAAAGATTTATCATATTTATTTTTTTAAATTTGTATAGATTATCTGTGATACTAAATTTGCTACATTATTTTTAAAATATATATATATATAAATAAATAATTTATTCATATTTCGTAATAACGATTTTATATTTTTTTAAAGAAATCGTAGCCTCCCCCCCCCCCTACCTTCCCACAAAGTTTTTTAACAATACGGTGATAACTTATAAACTACTGAGTAAAACCTAATTTGGCCTCATTACATAAAATTATTGAAAATTATGTAAAATATCCTTTTTCTTTTTAAAAATATAATATGTAATTAACAGTCTAAAAGATGCGAGTTAATAAGTAGGAAAATGTGATTTTATAAAAAAAATAATATTATTTCCATATATTTTATTTATTGCATAATATACCTTAATTCCTCTTATTATTTTTTTAATATCAAGTTTTTCCTGTTCCCTCCGAATATATGATCGGTTCTCAAATCAAAGATAAAGTATAATCTATCAACTAATCCATAATTATTATATTTTTTTAATATGTTTTAAATGGCAATTACGAAACTAGGAATTATATTATATTCGCATTATCTTGATCATGATTAGTTACCATTTTTAAGTTCTCCTTCCTTCTTAGGCCTATTCGAAAACGAATCGAATAGCAATGGATACTAATCGTATATTTGAAACAATAATTGAAATATTCGACTAATTAGTTGTATTCGAATCGAATTATTAGAATGATTTGATCGAATATTCGGCAATAATAAATATGTTTTTAATCTGATATGATGTGAATAATAAGGTACACATAAACTGCTTGTGAAATGCCTTTCTTCTTTGGAACTAATTTCTTTTCATAAATTTCGTGTCTTATAAAGAAGAAATAATGAGAAAAAGTGGTTTGGCATTATAAACTAAATTAACATGCATTTATATTTCGCTAAATAACTTGATCGCTATTTTCAGATAATTTTGTTTCTATTCAAAATTAGATGTGCAATAAAAAAAATTATTAAAAATTCCGTTAATACATTATTGTTATAATATTTTACGAATTATTTCGAGTATCAAATCGAATAATAATAAATTTTATTCTTCTTACGAATACCAAATTATTAGATTCGTTTTAAACAAACCGAATACGAATAATGCTCTATTCGATTCTCTTATTCGTTTTTGAATAGGCTTACCCCTACCTAACACTTATAAAAAAATGAATACATATATTTTCTACCATTATTTTTAAAAATTGGATTGGATATAATTTTATATAATCCTTTTTACCTGAAAAAAAAATTCGAAATCGATTTTAGTTACCATCATTGCAAACGAGCAAATACGGCGAGGATTTGTTATTTTTCCTGTTTTATACCTTCAACAACGATCTAATCCAACTTATAGCAGCTCAGGAATTGTAAACATTTATATACATTGTAAAATATTTCATTATTGTAATGGCGGATTTCTAAGGATTCTAGTTTATTCTCCAAATAGCTTGATTTTGAGTGTCTCGCATGGGGTTTTTAAAAAGCTCGATTCGGATCAATTTTTAAAAATGACTCCATTAATATTTTAGCCAAAATAATATTATGTAAGCCTGGATGGAGTTTTGCTCATAGATGGCAGAAGGGTTTGGACCTTTATTTGCCAAATCTTGAGGATTTAATATTATTTTGGCAAATGTCTTACGGGTTGTTTTTTTAAGCCAACCCAAATCAGGCTTTTTAGAAACCCAGTCTGGCTATGTGCCCCCCCCTCAATGGTCTTTCACATCTTTTTCGATTGTTGGGGATTTTCTCTTAACATGACCAAGTCCATTTCCCCCCTTATTGCCGAACTAATTTCGTTGATGATTAGCGAAGGGTGATCAAAAAATTGGAAGACCATAGCGATGAAAAGATATGACTCAGTCTTAAAGCGGGACATGCTCAATGCGCTAATTTGAGAGATAAACTATCAAGAGACAACTGCCTAATCCAAAATTCGGCCAATTATTAAAATAATGATATATTTCTAAGATGTAATTGTACTCTTTTATTTAAATTATCAATTTTTTTTATATTGTCCACCTTCTCTTTTAGGGTTGACTTGATTAAAATCAAAGATTTTTTTAAATATAATTATGATTTAATTAATTTTTCCTTTTAATTTGTTTAATTAATTATTTCAAATAACAACATTTTTTAACAAAATTTTACTCTACTTTTATTAATTAATTAATTGCTGAATCTTATTTTAAAATATTTTATGTTGTGTGAATTCTATGTATAATTCCCAATGAAAATCATTAAAGAAATCTCCCTTATTTTATCTAGCCATGTTTAATCAATATTTTTTAAAAAATTTTGATTTCTATAAATTATTAATTAACCCTTCACAAGATAGGTGGGAATTATTTTTAAATTTTAAATATACATCTCAAAGAATGTTAAAATTTGGGATCAAATTTTAAATTATTGTAAAAAATATCATAGATAATAGAATATAAAATTCACAGATTTATTTTTATATCTTAAATAATTTGGTATTTTTTCTAAAGTTCAAATAATTTTTTGGAACCTTATTTTGATTATATAATCATCACCAAAACATTTTATTGATTCATAATTAATGAAAATTACCTAATTGTTTTGACAAAACAATATGTAAGCGGATATTTTCAATATAGAGTCCTGTAAAATTTTTTTCACCTCAACGAAGTCTAACTTCTCATTTTCTACCATCGAAGAAGCAGAAGTTATTAAAAAATATTCTGGCCTCACGAGCATAATTTTTATACCAATAGTCACTATCAACATAAGAATGTTCGGAAATGAAGCTCTCAATTTTATCAAAGCCATTGGCCTAAAAGGAGACTCATTACAGGTGACCCCGACGAAGTATTCTACCTTCATCAGTTTCGCAATTTTTTTAGCATTCACCCCTCTCTAGGGTGACATGTTTATTTTAAAATATATATATTTTATTTTCATATAATTTTAATTTTTTTTTAAAGAGACCTGCAATAGGTATCATTTGCAGGGCCCGGTCTAGGTTTGTAAAAAAAATTTTTTTGGCAAAACCCGGATGATTTAAAAAAAAAGATGGCCTAACCTGGATTTTGTTTATAAAAAATATAATTTTCGGTTTGGCCTGGGTCTATAAAATGGTATAGGAAATATGAGAAGTGAATGTATTATTCAATAATATATTTTATTATATATATAATAATCGCGAGTTGAAATATTCCGCCTGGCCCGGGTTTATAGAAAAAAAAAATTGCTGCAGTCTCTGATATTTATTTTTAATTTTTTTTATATTATATAAGTTTTAATATTTTTTTTAAATTATGCACTTAAAATAAAATTTATATACTATAAGAAATTATTCAAAAACGAAGGTATCATTCTGTCTAAGGTTGAACTTTAAGAAAAGTTGCTTGAACTTTAAGAAAAGTTGCTTAAACTTTTCAAAATTTAATATATAATTATAATTTGCTTGTATCTTGTCATAAATGTTTCTTCTAAAATAAACATATTTTTTTATATTTGATATTTTGTTATTTATGTTATTATTTTCATTCAATATTTGTAAAGTATATTGTCAAATATTTATTTTTTATTATTTTCTGTGATAATAATATAATTTAAGGAAGGTTATAATAGAAAATTTTTATACAACTTTAGAAAAAATACTATAGCTGTTTTTAGGAAAATAAATTTTAAGTTTATTATTTATAATATTTTTACAATATTGTGCAAAACCAAATTTTGATATTTTCTTAGATATACAAAATTTGGGTTAAAATAAATCTCACATACAATGAAAGGAGTTTTTCTTTCACCTATGCTATGAAGGGTTAGTGATTATATTTCTAAGATGGTATATATAAAATTGAAAGATAATTAGTGAGTTCCAGCTCACGTTTATATTAAAACTAATTCATCTTCCAACAAAAACAATCTTAAAAACCAGATATGAAAGAGATTGGAGGTTTCATTTGGACGAAAAAATTTGGCTCACAAAAATACCCGGCCTTCAAAGCGTTGAAAAATCGCCCACATACGAGAGGGGAACATATTATTTTTTCGATCCCGTCACATGGCGAAAAGTTTAAACAAAATTAAAAGAATATTTTTATAAGATCCTCTAAAAAAAATTATATTTCATTCTTTCCTTACTTCTATACCTCTTTCAAAGCTCTGCTTCTGACCTCTTTGTCCAGCCAAACATTTCTCATGGTTCTACCAATACGAATTATAAGTCGTGAAAAATTTTATAACTAATCTACTTTTTTGCCAAATTTCTTGGCACGACTTGGACATTTCGGTTAAGGGCTATATTTTCTTTCTTTCTTTCTTTCTTTCTATCTTTATTCTTTTCTTTTATAAATACAATTAAATTGTTATTTTCATTTTTTTTAGTTACCAAAAGAATTTCTCATTTATTACGGAAAGCTGGAAGATAAACCTACCGTTCCTCAGGCTCTTATAAACACTTTTTACCAAATCAATAGTCCGGATAGCATCATTTTATAAAAAATCCACAATGTATAAATCTTCGTAAAGTTGAGCCCGTTTTCAGATTTTTTGTCAACAATCCCCGAGGTTGTTATAAATGAACCATTTTCTAATAATTTTTACAAAATTCTTATTTATTTTTTTTGTATTTACTTTTCTCCTTCGCGGTTTCTACAACTGTTTTCTATCCTATCTTTCTTTCCAAATTAATCAGCAATCCCTCTTATTCGATTTTCAGACCTGACTCAAATCGGATTTTTTTTATATTATACTTCAATCCCTTACCTATACCCAAATAATGTTTAATATTTTTTGATGACCACCATTTATTCAAAAAAAAATTATCGGCTTAAAATTTGCAACAAAAGCATATACTATATATATATCTCTCTAAATTGCATTTATTATATCAATAAAATATCATTCACTTCTATTTGTAAATGTTACCCCTACCGACTTTTACATCTCAAATATCGTTATCTCTTTTTTTTATTCCCTTAATTTATTTTTATCTCACAAAAAAAAATGGTTTATATATAAATTAATCATAACAATTATATATGGCAAAACGAAAAAAAAGTTTTCTATGCACTCCAAAACCTCTTTTATTATAGAAATGAAAGCAATTTTACCTTTTCCGAATTTTTTGAATTCTTGACTACGAATCTAAATAAAACTTGATTTTAAGTTTTAAAATAATAAAAAAATTAAATTATTTTGCGACATTTTATTAATTATAAATTGTTTTTTCGATTAATTCTTTTGATGTTTTAAAAGAGTGTAGTTTTTTTTTTTACCTATCCTTTCCTTCTTTCCTTTTATTTATTTTTTCAACATTCGTGTCAAACAAAATGTCCGCCGTTTCAACATATTTTTCTTCAAAAATATTTGGAAATTATTTCCCAAGCCTTCTTTGCTAAAAACGGATAGCATTTCCCTTAAATTATTCATGTAAGATTCACTTTATTGGAAGTTAAAGTAGTATACCTTTATTATTTATTATAATTTTCCCAAATTCTTTGATAATTTTAATTATTAACTATTATTATAACTAACTAATTTATAATTATTATTTAAAAAACAAAAACGTAAAATTGAGGAAATATGATATATGGAATAAATATTTTTAAAAAATATATTATATACAACAACGTTTTTCAAATCCCGATTTCAATATTTAAGGGAGTTTTTTGTACCAACGCTATTGAACTACTGGAAATGGTGACTGGAAAGTATCCACAGGTTTTGAGATGGAATATATAAATAATCATTTTACGGGTTTTGCAAAAGTCAAAAAAATTAATTAAGTTTCGTGTGTTTTATGACTTTGATAAGTTGTTTTTTAATTAATATTAAGTAAAACAAATAAGGTAAAATCATTACATTGTTTCTAAAGATATAAATTTCATTTATGTATTTTGAATATACAATAATAAAAAAATGAAATCCCGGAAAAAAGACCCCCAGAATTTTTCTCTTCTTATTTATCAAATTTACTTAAGACCTAATAATAAAGGCATATTTTTATTTGTATTATAATGGATAGACTCATTATTATACGGTATAGATAAAATTACTATTTTAATTATAACTAGTAGAAAGCCCGTCAAAAATGACGGGGAATGAGATTTTTATTCATTTTTTTACGATAGATGTCATGCCCGATCCAAGCTCACAATATTAGGAAGCATATAATTATTAAAATGTTTATCCTGCCCAGCTCAACCCTTTTGTTAAATAAATTCCCATGTCAGGTGCAAGCTAATATAAATTTTGAGGTTCCAAGACCAGTCGTATCCAATATAATTTTGAAAATTTTTCCCCTATCGGAGATAGTTAAATTTTTAATTGATTTATCATCACATGAAGGGGAATTATCTGATTTACCAATTAGTTTAAGATGTAAAAAAAAACGTGTGAATTCCGTATTAAGGGAAACTGGGAAGGCCTGGGCAAACCACTTATTAGAGAATCATGACATAAAATAAAAATAACCGACTCTTATACTTTTTGGTAATATGATCAATTATAATTATATATAAAAAATAAATTGTTGTTTATTATATAGGTTTATTGTAGCTTTTCGGATAAATTTAATGTATGTCTTGTATTTCCCAAATTATTTGTCTATATTTTATGTTAAGTAAAAAAAAATGCTATCTATTTAAATAACAAAAATGACATTAAACACTAATGAAACTTATATGCAAATTATTAAATATTTTTTATTGGCATAAATTTAGGCTAATTTTTTTAAAAAATAATGAGGAATAATTATTATGTTGTGTATTTGATAAAATTAAGAGCAAATCCTTGTTGACATTTTTATTTTTGATGGAAAAAGTTACAAAATAAATCTGGAAGGTTATCTGGAAAGGAAATAATTAATATACAATTTCATATCATTTAGGGTTGTAGATGAAAGTAATGACGTATTACCAAAGCAGTGTACAAAACAATACGTCCTGATAAAGATGAGTCATATTCCTATGCCTTGGGATACTGGTAAAAGAAGAACGCAAAATGATATTTCTGTCAATGTCAGCATTGGTAGCCCCTCTAAAATAGAATCATAATGACAATGTTAACTCAACCATAAAAAGGTAGTAAGAATTGTTATAAAGGCCACGACGGAACTACTGCATATTTTTCCATTAATAAAGTTGATAAAAATGGCCGTACTGCACATTCAAGTTTAAACATTCCTCTAAATAATCATGAAAGTTTCTCAGAGAATCGGATAAAGTAATATTTATAATAACTCCTAGTGAAATGAATGATAGTACGGAATTGAATGCTTATATTTGTTAAAAAATAGGGATTGTGGTAGTGGTGATAGAAATATCATTTGGAGGCAACTGGGTGAAAATAAAATAAACGTAAGATAAAAAAAACAAAATAAACCTCCAGAGGAGTTAATTTCAAGCATAGTTCTTTATTATTTTGGCTACCAGTAACTCTAGAACGGGCAAGGCGTTTGTTTATTCGTCATTATTTTCTTTGCTTATCTTTAATAGATTCATCATGTTTTGTAGCAATGTGAGGAATTAAGGTTGGGTTAGCCTAGACAAATAAAGAAATCAGGCAAAAATATAAATAAACATTATTATTGAAATAAAACGAACATTAAAATTCTATAAACCAGTAGATGGGTCAATATTAGATGCATATATCTAGTAGTTGGAGGGATATCATCAAAAAAATTGGGGGGGGGGCAGAGATATTAAATTTATAATTAATGAAAGGGAAATCTCTGATTTACCAATTAGTCTACGGGTAAAATATAATACTTTATAAAAATATTAACATAAGACTAACATTTAACATTAAAAAATCCCAATATAGGTTCAAGCCTAAAATATTTGTAAAAAATTTCCAAGCATCCAAGATCTTAATGATTTAAAAAGATTTTCTCAAGCCCATTTCCAATCCCTAATAATTTTTGAAAACCAAGCCATATTAATTTTGAGAAATATTTTTTAAGCCCATTTCAACCCATAATAATTTTGAAAAAATTTTCCTAAGCCTAGAGATATTAAATTTATTGAATTAACTCAGTTATGAATTTCTATATAAAATATTAATAATTTGTAATATTTAGTAAATAAAGTATTACTTTGACAATTGGATTTAATATGACCTCCTACAGTTGCACTAATTTTGAAAAATATCGTGAATTGGTAATAAGGGAAACTGAGAAAGCCCGAACAAAGCACTTATTAGAGAATCATGACAAAATAAGGTCTGCCCTAATATTATTTATGTTTTTTTTTACATTTTAAACTAATTGGTAAATCAGATATTTACCCTTCATGTGATGATAAATCAATTAAAAATTTAACTATCTCCGAGGTAAGAAAAAATTTTTAAAATTATATTGGATACGACTGGGCTTGGAACCTCAAAATTAATATTAGCTTGCACCTGACATGGGAATATCTTTTACAAATTATTAAGGGTTGAGCTGGGCTGGATAAACTTTTAATTATATGCTTCCTAATATTGTGAGCTTGGACCTGGCATGACACTATCGTAAAAAATGAATAAAATCTCATTCCCCGTCATTTTTGATGGGCTTAAAAAATTTAATATGTTATTGGTGCCAAATTAAGAACTCATATTAAAATTGATAAATAGTAAATTATAATTATTTTTTAGTCATAGTTCAGGAAGCGATACCAACGCATCTATTGCCAAATGTAAATGGTAACCCCCTAATAAATTTAAATTAGAATCGATGGGTTGAAATTGTATTAATTCTACATTTTATTATAGTTAGATAATTATAATACATTTTATTTTTAATCATAATTTAAAATTTATTATATGATATATTACATTTTTATTTTTCAAGATCAATTACATTTTTTTATCTTTATATCTTTTTTTTAAACAATAATAAAAAAAATAACTATTACAAATTGATGTATCAAAAAAATGTTAATATGAAATTTTCACCGATTAAATTTAAATAATTTGTATATAAAAAAATTAATCAATTGCCAAAATAAATAATAAAATAATATCTATCAACATATTCAACACGATGATTATCTCATACCCCTTTTCAGAAAATTAGGAATAAATTGCTCCTACCCCCCCTTGCTTTCGGCATGTAGAAGCTGCTGGAAAGAAGGTGAGAAAAGATAGATTAAAATTCTCAATGAATGTGAATTACTATATATATAAATATAATCGATTCAAAAAACTTTCAGAAGCCAAGTGAGACTTCAGCTTTATAAGCATAACAACTCCCTCCCCACCCACATGGAAATTGGCCACTCTTCAATTTTATTATAAGCTGATAAAAATACCCACTCAACCCCCCCCCCCCCTTCAGCTCCTACCCTTATCTCCACCTAAGAATAAACAATAAGTTGAAAGAAAAATAATTAAAGGATAAGCAAATTTATTTTTATGTTAAAAACTAGCCAGAGGACTATAGTGAACCTAAAGGCCTACAATAAGGGTATCTAAAGGTTTCAATAAAATTTATGGAGAAACCGACATCTAATCTAAAAGTGCGTTCACTCCACTATCAATCCTGGGTACGTCAATGCTTAATGAATGAAGTTGCATTCAGAGATAAAACATATCTCAGTCGATTTTTAGCCTAACTTAATGATAATTTTCATTATCAGAAAACAACTCCCTACATGGCATTGGACGATGTGTCATCGCAGCTGAATAAATATAGATATAGCTTTCGGCAGGCAAAAGAGTTCCTAAATTGAACAGAATTGAACTTTGTACAAATATGCGAAATATATGAAAACTTTTATAATATAATAAGTAAATATGCGAAATTTATAAAGCGTTTTGTAGAGAACACGTTGTTTAAATTTTGACAGTCCAGGACTTAAATACGTACAAATGGAAGGTTGGATAGTAATTGCATATAATAAGATGAATAAACTTCGTCGTTGTATATATAACATGAAAATTGCACTCATATAGATTATTTTATTATCATCCTCTAAATATGTTTTAAAGAAACATATGATTGATTAAGTATCAATCGTATTAATAGATCTTATTCCATGTCAATCATTATGATTTTAGAGCAAATGTTTATTTTATATGATATGATATGATATAAAGTTTTAATTTAATACTCTATATCAAGCTAAGATTAATTTATTTTAGTGCCTAATTGATGAATATAACATGAACGAGGTCATTATTAATAATGAGTTTATGGAAAGTGATTGGAGTAAGAAGACAGAAGAATCTAATCATTCTCAAATTTATTACAACCTTAAACGTAGATTGAATCATGTTAAACATAATGGTAACATTTCTTTCACAAATGTTGTTTCAAATCCAAGATGTATGTCTTCAAATTCTAATAATATAAATCCCTCAAAACCAATAAAGAGGGGGATAAAAATGCTATTCCCAATCACTCAATCTGAAAATAACAACTCTAGCCTTAATTCATACAGCGAGTTTAAAATCCCAGAAGATGACAAAATATCTATCATATCATTAGGCTTAGAAACAAATTTTACTATTTCTAAAACTTACATTAGAAATCATGTTTTTGTATCCATTAAAATTTTGGACAGATTTAACCATACTGAACTAGAATTTACTGAGTATATTCGCTTATTTGACCTTAAATCATTCCTGAAAAGAACAAAAGGTATCAATTACACATCTTCGGAATATAGAGATTTATACAAATGTTTATCTATTAAATTTTGCACTTGTACATTAGAACAATTAATATCATTTAGACACTTATATGCACAGCTAAATACCAAAATTTTTAATCATCACATGGAAGAATTAATATCCTCTGATAGTAGGATATTGATAGCAACAAATGATGCTAATAAATTATGTGATTACTTGTTAAACTCCCACTATAAGAACAATTTAAATGACAATACCTATGATAGTCATCCTAATAAAAATATAATGAATATTTTTAATCATATTACAGATCCCTTATATCAATCTTATGGCAGTACTATACATTTATCAAAAACCTTAAATACAAACACAAATTTATCCCACACCAAAATAAAACAAACTCCGCTAATAATTAAACCTAAGAAACTGAATACCACAATGTCATTTTACAATATTCCAACTAGCAAACAGCCATTGAACCAGCATATTAAATTTAGCAAAAATAGTCATGAGACCATCAACCTGGCATGTTATAGGAGACCTCATGACCAAAAGCCATTTATAAATCTTCGAACACTTAAAGAACAAATACTTCCTCACATAAACATGCATTCTATAAGAGAAGCCTGCAAATTGATGAAATATAAAATGGTCACATTTCATAATTTGAACCTGATTGATTCACCTGATCTAAAAGAATCTCCTGATGAATATGTAACCCTTAGGCAAGCCAAAAAAATAGCTAGACGCCTTGATAAATTTTATCACATCCAATGTCATAAAAATAGCTCTGGTAATATATCAAAGCAATCCCCCAAAATGAAACCAAGCTTTCCTCCCAAGGTTATTAATAATGGTCTTTTAATCAATAACATACTCACCAAACCAGAAACATTAGCTAAACCCACTCACAAAGATTGGCAACATAATAATCTTTGTCTCAAAGCCAGGCGCATAGCTTCCTTATATAAACGCCCTCATCAAAAATGTCGTTATAAGCACCTTTTGCATCCCAAGAATGTAGAAATAGAAATGGAGCAAGACCTCACAGAAAACCTTGTGGAATTATCATGCTTTGATGAAGATTTTGACTCAAAAAATCTAGATTTTAATAATGAAATTTTTTCTCAATTACATGTAAGAAAACTCCCCGAACACACTGATAATATCAAATGTAAAGAATGTTATGTGACACTACAAAAAAGTACTCCATTAACAGTCGTTTTTAATGCGGATATCACAAGTACTATTTTTTTAATCAATATAAGAGAATGTTAAATGGGTAGATAATTCATTTTATAGTTATTCAACCAGGCAATAAAGAAAGAAATTGTAGCGTTAATATTTTTTGGCCCTATGGACCAAGCCAATAATTAGTAAGACTTATAATATAACTACCATGGGAGGGAGTTATGATGCTAATAATTTCAATTGAAAGGGGTAGGGAGCTATGAAGATATTGTCATTAGAATGGGGATGGGGTAAGGGTGTGAATGAATGTAAAAGAGCATCCTCGTGTTTTTCTTTTTTTGTGCTAACTTTTTGTTCCTTCTATTACCTTTTTTTTGTTAAATTAGATTTGAATTTCTTTTTATTTGTTATAATTTTGATTTTTGTTTAGAGGGTAGGAGATTAGGAAGGTACTGTACAGGATAGGGATAGGAGTTAAAATCATTATTAGCTTAAGGGACCATAGAAGGGCCTGCACCTAACTATCTTTATTTAATTTTAGTTGTTATCCTTATCTCATAAATCTAATATCTAAAGCAATAATATATTAGGATATAAGTCCTACAAACCTAAATTGCATCTAAATTGGTAAGTTACTAGAGGTAAATATGCTTTGAATTCGGTAATAACTTTAGCCCACGTCGTTTAAGTTTATGAGGTATTTAAATACATCCTCTGCCATTATTTATTAATAATAAATCATTGACCTTCCAGATTTGCGTTCAGACTGACTTTGGAGAGACTACATTTATCCATTCAAATCTATAGCCTATATTGTATTATTATAAGGGTCAATTTTTTAAAACAGCTAAACCCTATATTTTCACTAAAAAAAATATTAAGCAAGCCTCGAGATTTCAATACCTATCTGAACATCTATGATCAAAATCTGCTTGCGCATAACCTTTTTGGCTGAAATATTGGGCTAGCTAATTTTAAAATTCGAGCTTTTTAACAACACTAATCTTATAGTATTTTTTTCAGGGATATCTGCAAAGGTCGAAATTTTTAGCCCTTATTTGGATTTTTTTAAAATTTTACCCCCTTCCAAGAATTATTTTAAATTATCGTTATTTTGAGTAATTTTGGCTGTGGGAAATTAAAAATATGACTAGAATATTAGGTAGTGAAGGTCACGGTTTGGTCTTTGGTCCACACCAGACTGACGTTCTCGGATCGGATCTGACCAGGAGACCGGTCTAGTAAAATGCTTCTTTGACAAATCTATGGGTTTCATATTGCAAAATAAAGATGGACTAAAAATTTACAACTAATATATAACTCCTCTATAAAAATAACATTTAATATAATATACAAAAAAATTTGGTAAAATAAATTACATTAATTGAATCAAATAACTTTATAAAAATTATTAAACATGTCTAACTTTCTAAAAAATTTAAGTTTTTATAAATTTTATACTTCCCATTTAATTTAGATATTAATATAACTGCCCATTTTCTATCATAATTTGAAAAATTCAACATAGTATTGCTTACTTTTTTTCTCGTAATTTCACAACTTTATAAACTTTAAGCATAAATTTATTAGGTTTTTATAATTTCTCGAACTTTAAAAATTAATAAACTTTCGTAGATTCGAAAAAATGTTTTAGATCACTATTTTAATTATCCATTAAAGGTAGCTTATTTCCTTTTTGTTAAAGTTACCAAAGTTTACGAATTATATTTTTGATATTTAAGATATAGCCCCCTGACCAGGGTTTAATTTATTTGTTCCGGAACTGCAAATCAGATTTTTTGATATTTTTACCCTAGATGATACGTTGAAAAAATAATTACTAGCTAGCTTTAACCAGAGTGAAAGAGAGTGTGTGGGGAAGTAGAGGGGTGGGTATAAATATATTATTTTTTGAATCATTAGGTCAATTATTTTTGGATTAAAATCTTTATTTTGTCTTTCAATTTAGTTAATAAACTGCCGAAAGTGTTTATTAAATGTTTTACTTAGATCAAAAATGATCTCACTCCATTTTTTTTCCTCCATCGTTCTGGAACAATTTTTAATTTATAAACACTTTCTCCCAATTCGTTCAAAAATTCCCCCCATCCCATTTTTTTAATCATAAAGTTATTTTTTTTAAAAATTTGCATTATATTCTTATATTTTTTCCCCCAAAAGCTGGCGCGACTATACAACAAGTTGGATGGATATACCTGCATTTATACCTAACTCAGCACTCCCCGTGTGTCCTCTGTTCTTCTTGCTCTCGTCATTTTTCCGTTTGCGAATTCCTAAATAAACACATGTTCTCGCATCATTGCGATCCTCATAATTTCTCTATTCATCGTGATGATAATAATAATAAGATTATCTCTACCAATTCCGATCAGGCAACTAAAAAGTGGATAGAGCTTGTTAAAACCAGAGATTTTAAGGCGTGGAAGGATTTTTTAAATCGTAGGCTCTCTTTTCGGGAACCTTGTTACCTTCATCATTCTCCGGATCACGTCTCTTATGGACATTCTCATGAAAACCTTGGAAAATATATTCTACTTAATGACGCAAATAACTTTGACGTAGCCTTTGTCGGTGAGATATCAACCATTTGCGTTCAAAGTTTAGGAGCTAAGCCTTCTACGAAAACGGATAGTTTAGGCATCATTAATCCATTCAATAAGTATTTGCCTCACGAGATTAAGCGATTTTTACGCAATAATATACATATCATAGACTTACCGTACTCTCCCATGTGTCCAAGATTAGGTTATAAACGCAAGAAACCTTATTTTGATGTTAGATCAAATCGACATATAAATGACAAAAATGAGCGCTATAATAGGCTAAAAAACGTTATTACTCGGTATGGTCTTATACCGTGTATGAAAAGCCTGCCGCATAATAACTACCTTATGTCCTCCCCCTTTTCTTGGCACCACCTATCCAACCCCAAAGTTGAATGTGTTCGAAATCGAGCCTTATATCATCCTAAACTTCCTTGCTCTTAAATAAAAATAATGCGTAAACGATACGTCTATCTTTCATTTTTTTACGGCCTCTACATATTATAATATCTTATTCGATCAATTTTATAAAATATATTTTCTTTATAATAAATATGTTTTTAAAAAAAATTGATATTTATATATATTTTTATATTAACTGTAAAATAGATTTTATTTTTGTCTAAAGATTTTCTTTATAATATTTATTATTCGAACCATTCACAAATACAAGAAATTAAAAGTTATTCACTCAGAAAAAAAATAATAATCATAGTGGATTTCTATAGAGTAAAATAATTTTAAATTTAGAAAAACATTAGAAATGAGGATAAGAAGGCCCAGGTCAAGGCCATAACTAGATTTGTTAAGTGGCTCGATTTTAACGGATTTTTAAAAACGGCTAACTCAATATTTTATCTAGAAAAATATTAAGCGAGCCTGAAGATTTTGATAATAAATTTCACAAAGGTTGGACAGCTATTTGCGAGATCTTGAGGCCTAGTCGATATTTTGATGGATTAACTATTGAGCCAGCCTTTGTTAAAAACTCAAATCGACCTATACACGGGAAAACAAAGCACAATTAAAAGAGATTTAGCTCAGAAAATTAATACTAAACGATGCGCGCGAAAAACATATTTACATTGAAACCTAGGCGAAAGATAATGTTGACAAAATTAAATAATTTAAGATATTGAGGGAATGGCCGATGTAAGTAGATGCCAGAAAAAAATATTAAGAACTATTGAAAGGGGGGTTTTGTGATAAATAGTAGTTCCTACTGTTTTAAGAGAAACATATTAGAGGTTTCCCTCTATCCCAAAAAATATAGCCTAGTAATATTGGTTGCTTCAATAATTTTGATATATTGGGGGAAATGGCGGTGATAGGTAGATGCCAGAATAATAGTTTGAGTTGACTACTACGAAAAACTATTATTAGGGGAAGGGAGTCTTGATGTTCTTGCTCCAAATTCCCTCTATCTCGAAAAAATATATTTACTTAGTCATGTTTGTTGCTTCATCTTAAATTTAGGATATAAGCAATTTAATAATATGTACCTCATAGATTAGCGAACTATAGCCTAGATTTTAAAACAACAATATCAAGGCTAAATATAGAGGGCCAGTTTGATGCTTTTCCACGCTAACTTAATTCTCTGACTGTTTAAGATAAGCTTATCTACCAAACACTAATGACAGGTATTTTATTTTAGCTAGGAATTGGTAATATTACTTTTTTTAACACTAAGCATACCATGACATAAGTATTCTTCCTTTAGTATTACAACATTGATTTCCTTATAATCTAAAATTTTAAATGTGTACGCAATAAAGATTATTAGAAAATTAACCGATTATCTTTCGGCAGGGATGCGAAAGGATAATTTTTTCATAATTACATCTATTAAATGACCTTAAAATATCAGAATTCTTAGCAAGGAAGAATAGTATTAATCCTAAGATAAAGGAACAATTTACAAGTTAATAGTATACAGGAACTTTTCAGATATGAGTGGCCTTATCGGAATGATATAAGACAAAATTTAAATTCAATAGATCATGCATACAAAGACGCAAATTGAGAATGTCTCCCTCAGGCCACTTCCAAACACTCTCTTCTCTTCTCTTCTCTTCTCTTCTCTTCTCTTCTCTTCTCTTCTCTTCTCTTCTCTTCTCTTCTCTTCTCTTCTCTTCTCTTCTCTTCTCTTCTCTTCTCTTCTCTTCTCTTCTCTTCTCTTCTCTTCTCTCTCTCTCTTCTCTTCTCTTCTCTTCTTCTTCTCTTCTCTTCTCTTCTCTTCTCTTCTCTTCTCTTCTCTTCTTCTCTTCTCTTCTCTTCTCTTCTCTTCTCTTCTCTTCTCTTCTCTTCTCTTCTCTTCTCTTCTCTTCTCTTCTCTTCTCTTCTCTTCTCTTCTCTTCTCTTCTCTTCTCTTCTCTGTTTTTTAAAGCGATAAATAACAAATTAAGCTTAATAGATGTGTGCTTCCAAACCAAACGATTTTTTCATGCATACGATTTTGCGATTATTTTAATAACAAACTAGCTTGATTTTTTTTAACGATTAAATGGCGTCTGATACAATTGAAATGAATAAGTAATTTTTTTTAACGTTAATATTCAATAAGTGAAATGATTTTAGAGGAAATTTTGTATCTGAATTGATAAAGTTTGTAGAAGATCATGACGATTTATGGAACCAATCTAATGATAATTATTCTAATAGATTATTAGTAGATGAACTATGGACTTTATGTGCTAAAAAGTAGAACAAGACTATATTGAAAATATTGACTATTTTATAATAATAATTTTTAATTAACAGACTTTTTAATTAGATACTATTTATTAGTAAGCATGGAATATGAATTTTAATAATTTATATCTTTATTTAAATAAAATTATTTTTTATCCTTTATTTACCAGGCTTGATTCATCCCCAAATGTCTGTAAATTAAAATGGAAGAATTTGAGGGATTCTTATTTAAAGGAAAAGAGAAAGAGAGAAGAAGTGCATTCAGGGGATGCTGCAAAAGCTAACACTCCATGGAAATGGTATGATTCACTATCATTTCTTACTACTTCCACCACACCAAGAAAGACACTAAATAATATCACAGATAATATAGAGAATGTAAGACCTGTAAAAAAAGGCTAGAGTAACACAAGACCCAATGGAAAGATATTTTGACAAAATGTTAGAAATTGATAATGACCCAGATAGATTATGGTGCCTGTCTTTGGTTGATAATGTAAAGAAGGTGCCAAATGAAGTTAAGGACGCCATGAAAATTAATGTGCAAACTCTTATTTATAATTATATAAATAATATTATAGTAGAAAATGTTGATGTTAAAATAGTTATGTATTATATACACATACAAAAGTAATTTATTTATTTAATATATAATGATAAAATGTTAAATTAAACATATATTTAAGAATTAAAATAGTCTTTAAATAATTCTCTAATTTCTCTTGAATTAGAACTTGAAGCATTTAAAGATCTACTGATCCCTAAATTTTCAGTAATAGGTAAAATATTAGGTGTATATTCTATTTTATCATAATCAATAATAATATTATGTAAAAGAATAATTGTAGATATAATTTTATCAGCATTTACAAATAATCTCTTTTCAGGAGATATTGTTGTTTTTGCATTTGTTTGTTTATGTATAATTTTAGTTTCAATTTTGTTAAGTATATAATAGAAAACATTCCTAGATAATCCAAGATAGTGAAAGAATTGCGATTCATTTAAATTGATATAGATCATATACAGATCTCTTTCTTTATAAATTATACTTACTTTTCGTTTTTTTATAATGTCTCATAATAAAATATCTAGTTATAAGATTCATTTAAAAAAAATCAGCTGTAAAATATAAATCGTTGCTGTTTGGAAGTAAAAAATATTGCGAAAAACGTGCCTCGGAAAACGTTTTGAAAAAACGTCGTGTTTGGAAGTGGCCTCACGACAATACAAATGATAAAAACATTTTTTGTTATAAAGTTATAAATGCCTTTTAGACTCAGCATGAAATAAAATAATACGGGAATGACTAAAATACGCGTCCCCGGTCAAAACGACTTATTTTTATTATTATTAATAGGAAATCTTATTAAGCTTTATAAGATGAGTTAGAAAATGTTTTTTTTAATTTAAAAAAAATACGGTAACTATATAAAATTTACAAAAAATTTTTTTAAAAAATAAACTACGCGTCCCCGGTCAAAATACAGTTTTTTTTTAAAAATCAAAACGGATTCATATTTAGCTCATTAAAAGAATACAGAATATGTAAATATTATATTTTAAACTATTTTATAACTTAGTGATTTTTTCAAAAAACACTTCTTTTTTTTCAAAAACACTACGCGTCCCCGGTCAAAAAACCGTTTTTTTAAAAAATAAAAGCAGATTCATGTTTAGCTTTTCAAGGAGATTCAGAAAATAGTATTAATAAAACAAATTTACAAAAAAAAATTTTTTCGAAAAAAATTTTTTTGGCAAAACTACGCGTCCCCGGTCAAAATACAGTTTTTTTAAAAAAATCAAAACAGATTCATATTTAGCTTATTAAAAGAATAAAGAATATGTAAATATTATATTTTAAACTATTTTATAACTTAGTGATTTTTTCAAAAAACACTTTTTTTTTCAAAAACACTACGCGTCCCCGGTCAAAAAACCGTTTTTTTTAAAAAATAAAAGCAGATTCATGTTTAGCTTTTCAAGGAGATTCAGAAAATAGTATTAATAAAAAAAATTTATAAAAAAATTTTTTTTTTCGGTTTTTTGACCGGGGACGCGTAGTGTTTTCGAAAAAAAGTGTTTTTTCAAAAAATCACTAAGTTATAAAATAGTTTAAAATATAATATTTACCAATTCTGTAATCTTTTAATGAGCTAAATATGAATCCGTTTTGATTTTTTAAAAAAAGTGTATTTTGACCGGGGACGCGTAGTTTAGCCAAAAAAAAATTTTCGAAAAATTTTTTTTTTTTAAATTTTTTTTATTAATACCATTTTTTGAATCTCCTTGAAAAGCTAAACATGAATCTGCTTTTATTTTAAAAAAAAACGGTTTTTTGACCGGGGACGCGTAGTGTTTTTGAAAAAAAAAGTGATTTTTCAAAAAATCACTAAGTTATAAAATACTTTAAAAAATAATATTTACATATTCTGTATTCTTTTAATGAGCTAAATATGAATCCGTTTTGATTTTTTTAAAAAAACTGTATTTTGACCGGGGACGCGTAGGGACGCGTAGTTTAGCCAAAAAAAAATTTTTCGAAAAATTTTTTTTCTTTAAATTTTTTTATTAATACCATTTTCTGAATCTCTTTGAAAAGTTAAACATGAATCTGCTTTTATTTTTTTTAAAAAACGGTTTTTTGACCGGGGACGCGTAGTGTTTTTGAAAAAAAGTGTTTTTTCAAAAAATCACTAAGTTATTAAATACTTTAATATATAATATTTACATATTCTGTATTCTTTTAATGAGTTAAATATGAATCTGTTTTTATTTTTTAAAAAAAACTGTATTTTGATCGGGGACGCGTAGGGACGCGTAGGGACGCGTAGGGACGCGTAGGGACGCGTAGGGACGCGTAGTTTAGCCAAAAAAAAATTTTTTTTTATTAATACTATTTTCTGAATCTCCTTGAAAAGCTAAACATGAATCTGCTTTTATTTTTACAAAAAAA